CCCCCGCCAGACATCAGGGCCAGCAGGCTCCTACCTTGACTTCAACCTCTGCCCTCCCCCCTGGAGCTGACACACACAGAGCTCACTGCAGGCCAGGCACTGCCTGGGAACTGAGACATCTGAACCTCACAACCACCCCAGGAGGTCATCACTAGCGCCCTACCGACAGATAAGGAACCCTGGGATGTTGTCATTCAGAGTCACAGACAGTGAGGAGCCAGTGAGGAGGAGGCAGGCTGGATGGACTAGCCCTTCCACAGCCCTGCTGTGGGGGTTCGGAGAGTGGAGGGAAGCCTCAGACACCCCGGGAGAGCACGGGCAGCTGTAGAGGGTGAGGCATGGCACAGCACAGAAATCGGAGCTTTGGCTCTGCCCTAGGACTGGGCGCTTCCTCCCGAGCACGTGGGTGCTCTTTGGTGAACTGACGATATACTGCGGCGGCCTGGGGAGGACCCTCCGACTGTGTAGACAAGTATGAGCTCCTGAAGACACCCTCCCTACCACGTGGCAGTCTGTGATGGGATTTCTGGATCCAGTTCAAATACCATTTAATTACTGCAGGCAGATGGCAATGCCGGCGATTGGAGAAGATTGAATCAACATCCCTGGAGACAGAGGGAGCGGGTCTGCCGTCAGAGGCCTCCCAAGGTCTTCAGTAGCTGGCCCCCAGAGCATGGGGGGGGCGGTAAAGAAGAGAGTGGAGGAGAGCAGCCTGGGAGAGCACACATAGGTCAGCCTGGGCTTTAGGTGCCAAGAGTTGTGGGGTCCTCCTGGGATTCTCTTTTCAGTCCAAACATCCTGATATGAGGAGTTCTGCATCAGAGAGCCGTCTAGCCTCTTGCTACTATTCAAAACACCAGGATGCCATTGGTGAGGCGGTTCACCCAGGGGGAAAAATGGGAGACTGGACATAGACCTTGGGCGAGTCACTAATTTTCAGGACAAATGGTCTAGAAGAGGGAGAGTGTGACAGTCTCGTGCATAATGAGCCGCTGTGGGAGCTAAGAACGAAGCTCTCACAGATGCCTCCCCAGGCGCGGGTCGTGGGCCAGCCAGCACCCACTATCACTCTCCGTCCACGGTTCAATCCCCACTTCCTGGCAGGAACCACGGCTCAGGCACTCAGGTTGTAAAACAAGAAGAAGGCTGGCGTTCAGCCTCTGCTCGGGCTGAGACCACAGGCGTCCTCCTGCCCCTCGAGGCTTCCTCTCCCCAGATACCCCACCCCCACATTGCTAGCAACTTCCTCCCTCCTGCACTGTTAGAGCTGGATTGAGCGCCACATGTCCATTCAGGCAGCGCCAACCAGGGAACTGGGCTGTCCTGCCCTCTAGGGTACATGGTCCTGTGACAGCTGAGCTCATCTCTGGTGCCTGGCGGAGATTTTGAACCCTCAGCACAACCCGCCAGAGACCGGATGGAGACTTTGTCCTGCCTCCTTCCTCTCATGGCCTAAGCCTCGGCCTGCCCTTGGATCACACAGATCTCTCAGTTTTAGCTTTTGAAGAATTGCATCATCCTCTCCTCCAACAGCCTCCTCGTCCACGGGTCCCACCCTGGATGATGTCACTTCTGGGGGTTGCCCTCAAAGTGGCCGTGACCTAAAGAAAGGAGAAATTGCTCTTTATGGCTGGGGTGGGTGGGTGGGTACAGATGGCAACCCCTCAAAGCTGTATTCTTCCTAGTGGCATGGAAGGAGGGGTCAGGGGTCAGCTGCCAGGTTCTTCCAACCATGGTTCCCTGGGAGCTACCCACCAGGCCAAGACTAGGAAGAGCCAAGTGGGGCATGCATCTTAAGCACAGAACAGAGAAATTGATTAAGATGGACTATCTGATGATCCGGATATACCACACCTAGGTATATTCCAGAAGGAATCGAATGCAGGAGAACGCCATGCCTACACACCCATGTTTACTACAGATTTTTTTCAGAATGATCAAGTTATGGAATCAGCCTAGGTGCTCATCAGTAGATCAACGGCCAAAGAAAATCTACATACACACACTGAAATACTATTTGGCCATTATGCAGAATGAAATTACGTTATTTGCAGGGAATGGATCATCTTGCTAAGGTGGGCCCAGGAAACCTTAATCACGTTTTCTCTCCTATGTAGTATCTGAACTTAAAAATAAAACGTGAGGAGAAAAGGGAGGAGACCAGTGGAAATCAGGAGGAAACATTAGGGAATAAGAGGGAGATGGATGTAAGATCAAAGTACGTGAGACGGAATGCATGGGAAAGGCATATTGAAACCCATCACTGTATGATTAGAATATATTCTAAAACAGAAAATCTAGGAGTGGAAAATGCAACATTTAAAACAATTAAATTGGCATACTATGGCCTGCAGGCCAGTTAGTTGCCTATTATTATCAATAAAGGCTCTCAACCTAAAGATCCTGTGACATTTCTGTCCAGGGACAGTGTGACTCTCACTGCAGACCATCCCTTTATCCATTTTCTTCTTCGTCCTGCAGGGAGGGAGGACCGTGAGGCCCTCTTCGAAAGCGCCCCCGCCCCGAATCTCCCAGAACAGAGCCGGCCTATTCGCCATTTGGCAAACGGCAGGCCGAGCGGCCCAGCCAAGGCTTTTCAGAGGCAGGATCTGGCACCGTGGCTGAGGTCGCTGCGCTTCCTCTGCTCACAAACGAGCAGTGGCTGGCGTGATGTGGGCGGCTGTCCCCACCCCCGCAGCGCTGAGCCGCAGCAGAGAGACTTAAAGGCGGGGGACAAAGGCGGCGAGCCGGAGCCCAGGCCCGCGGGAAGAGCTGAGCTCAGCGGTTCCTTGGCTCTCCGGGAGCAGGACAGGGCGGAAGCGAAGGGCAGCGGGACACAGCGAGGGGGCAGGCTGGGGGACGCTGAGAGGCTGCCAAGGGCAAAGCACACTCTCTGCAGAGGGTAATAACTGGGTGCATCCGGGCACGTGCCTGAGACGTCCACACCCAACCCCAAAGTTTAGGAGCCTCACGGTAAAGCCTCTAGTGACATCATACAAAGCCAGCCAATAGCCAATCACCCCTCCTAGAAGCTCCGCCCAGTGGTGACCTTGGGCTCCAAGAGGTTGGCTGTGCTTTCTTGGGGGTGAGATTAGTCCCACCCACTCTGCTACTGGCTAGGTATCACTCAGAGTTCCTAACCTACCTCTCCCCAAAATTCAGCCAAGGCTTCCAAGGGTGCAGCTTTCTGCACTTAAAAAGACTTTGTACCAAGGAGAAGTAACAGGCGGTGACATTAAAATAACCAAGAGCTGTTCCAGGTTCAGAAGCTTTAAATTTTAAAAAATTAGCATTTATGTTTGTATGTGTGTGTGCATGTATGTATGTGTGCATGCATGGCAGGGCACACATGTGAAGGCCAAAGGATGGCCACTGGAGTCTTTATTCCATTACATGGGTCCTGGGGATTGAACTTACGTTATCAGGCTTGGCAGCAAGCACTTTTATA